ATATATACATACATACATACATACATACATACATACATACATACATACATACATACATACATACATACATACATACATACATACATACATACATACATACATACATACATACATACATACATACATACATACATACATACATACATACATACATACATACATACATACATACATACATACATACATACAGTTATAAATCTATATCTATTTACCCACCCACCCACCCATCCACACCCTTCCACACACACCTTCATCAGCTTGACGAGCTCTGCAGCTGCATTGATACATCTCCGTGTCTGGCCAATGCGGTTCATAAACAACAGCGAGAAGGCTATGAAGTCCATGGCATTGCGTGCGTGTGCTGGGGTTAGCAAAGGGTTCAGGGCCAGCAGTTGCTGCTCACCTTTGGGCACTAACAGCAATCCCACCAGGAACTCGTACCACACACTGGTCTGTATGTGTAACCATGGCAACCGAGTATCAGTAGGGGTAAGATCGTGCGAGGGTTGTGACCGGTCAGGGCTGGGTGTGTGCATAGTGAATCCTAAACCTAAGCATGTGTGTTTAGTTTTAGGGTTGTGGGAGTCTGGGGTTTATAGGGTTTTAGGGTTTTAGGGTTGCTGGGGTACAGAATGAGGTTCATCGCCAATATACACTGCTCTCCTTTGGGCGCATCTGATTATTCCAACTACAAACTACCGGTTTAGGGTTTAGAGTTTGTGTGTTTTAAGGTTTTAGGGTTTTAGAGCTGTAGGGTTTTAGGGTTCACGCACTCGTACATTCACCGTAAGAGACAATTCCTGTAGTTCCCTTTTGCCGTACTAACTATAGGGCCGTCCGCTATTCATTTTTATGTAGTATACACAAAACCATTGCTGAATTCTACTCTTAGATGTAACCTATCCGAGTTTCCCGTCGCAGTACCAGTGAGAAGGTCTTAGGCTCTTGCACTTTATGTCACGTGTATGTACATGTGCCAGATCACATCCAATGTATCACCCACCTCCGTTTCCTTGTGCCGTGTCAGTTAAATAAACCTATGCTCTTATATATTGTAACGTATGCATATATATATATATCCCACGGATAATGTAATTCTATGTCATGTG